TATAATGCACCAAGGATATTCACTTTTACATCGGAAACCACCCCCAAAGTTTGAAATAGAAGCATTATTTCGCTAGTTATGCTGTACACAGACACACAATAAAAAAACACACACATTATTATAAAATCAATACATTCATCACTTCGTTCAGAATCTAAAAGGTATCAACTAAAAATTTGATTTTATTATTTTTCCGAGTAGATACATGAAAACCATCTGTAGTACAAAATTTTTTTTTTGATGCTACAAAAAGGTACACAATGAATACAAAATATCGGTAAAAGTCGCATTTGGGAATTATAATTTTGATTTTTCATTAACTTGGAAACTGAGATTTGAAAAATGTAAATAAAAAATTCGTTTGGGGTACAACATTTTTAAATACTTTACATTATCCTGAAAAATAGAGGTGGCATCCTGTTTACAGTGAAAATTGTTTTTCATTGATTTGCAGTCTTTTATTATTGAATACAGAGGATTGAAAATTAAGTGGTCTATTCAATTTATGAGTTATAACTTACACTTCAAACTTATTAAACAGTTAAGGTCGCCACACACAGCAGTGGTGGCGGTAAAATTGTGACCTCTTTATTATGCTATAACTGCCACTGCCATTGATCGATACCACTACAATGTACAGTACTGTACATAAAAATATCAATCATATATTATAGAAGTTAAATTTTAAACTTTGACAAAATTGAATATACATAGGTATAACGCAATATATAATTCAATTTAAATAAATTACTATTAAATTATTAAATTGATATTAAAGATAAGTAGTATCATTAATTTTAATTTTTTGTACTTGTTATTATAAAAATGTATGCATTTAGTAGATAATGGATATTTATTAGGCATATGGTGAAAATTGTGATATTAGTAAATTTAACAATGTTGCATACAATTTCATACACAATTGTGTTTATTTTTATTTTATTTAAGGTATTTAAAAAAATTGTATGTAAAAAACCCATTTAAACATACACAATTCCGGGTACCTTATGAATAATAATATTAATATTTTGAAATGTGACATTCGTGTTCTGAAATTTTTATACACGAAACAAAGGTATCTTACCCAGTACAATAGTTGTAAAATCATTAAAAACAGACATTGTTATTATAGAAAACATTATCTAATTTAAAATTGAATAATTGATTAATATTCATGATTTGAATAGAATAATTTAAATAAATAACATGGCTTCTTATTGTCAATAAATCATTTGGGAGTGACACATTTGTGTTATAGAACCATTAAAAAAATATGCAATTTACTAATATTATGTAGGTACCTAATTTATTGGTATAGTATGAACTACAAAAAGGTACTTTAAATGCATTGGTTATTAATTTGTAACTATGTGAATATGTAATATACTAATGTGTGGTTACTTCAGTAGGTATTTGGTCAAAATTATAATTTAATAATTTGATGAGTTTAATTWATTTAAATTATGCATATTGATATTAATCTAGTTTATAGAAAAAACATCATCGTTTTAAAAATAAATGTATTAATATAATTATTAGATAAACCAGATAAAGGTAAATAGGTTAGGTTAGGTTAATTGACTATAAGTATGTTATATTATTATTATGTTTTTAGTATTATAATATATACAATTCAAATATAAAAAGTTAAAAATACCTAGAATTTAAGTAAATTTAAATTGATTAAAAAATTATTTTTCATAAGTATATTAATTGTATTGATGTAAGAATAAAATAAAACAATATTATAAATTTTAGTGTTTTCTAACTACAAAAAAAAATATATTTAATGTTATTTTTATACCAATTATACGTAGAGGTGTTTATACACAAAACAAACATTTAATTATTCATAACATAGGATAATATGTGTTAAAGAGTTTAAAATAAAATAAATTTTGTAAGGTGTTTGCTAGAAGAATAGTAGATTACCATATTGAGTTCCTGTAGGCATACGAAGAATCAACTTGAAAAACTTATAAAAAAAATACCAAGACTATCGGATAAAGTGGGTGGGATGAAATTTTTTTTTAAATCGGCCAAAATAGAATTTTGATTTGCTAACTTCAAAAATAGATATGCTATGATTTGCTAACTACCGGTGTTTGTTTGGTGACAATCGGACAAAGTGGGTGGGTTACCTACCTGAACTTAGCCCACCCAAATAAAAATTACTTATAACTTCCTCAATAATGATTTGCTAACTTYGACAGTAAATTTGCTATTCGTTGCTAACTATTTGCTAACTTATAATATTGGTACGGGTCGTATCATAGAAAGTGGGTGGGTCAAGTTCATGCACGTCTTGTAGTCGTTGTAATGGATGTGTTATATTTATATATCTATCGGTTGGTACTTCAAAATTTTAGATTTTAGATTTCTGTATTTGACAGATTATGGTACCTATCACATACATTTATTATTATTTTTATATTTACAGCCTTTGCTGGTCTCATAATTAGTTTTAAGTGGCTTTCATTACAATATCACTGATTAAAATCATCAGATCGTTGCTATTAATAACTAATATTAAACTTATATTTATGGAACATTTTAGGTTCAATTCAACCACATTTACGTGGAGGGCAGTATACTCCTTGTACTTTTGTGGATATTATTTAAAAAAACGGCAAGTTCTTCAAATGCAAAAAAGACCGAACCATCAGAAAACGTAAGTAATTATACATACACATCATAATCAAAACATTAATTTAAAATTTTTTATAATGAATTATTGGCTCAAACAATCTTAATTTTTTTTTTAAAATAATCTGTCCAATTTTGATTCTAATTGTTTACAATTCTTTCTCAACAAATGTACTACCGTAACCCGGGGTAACTTTATCCCACTTCGGAAATTGCAAACATTTCTGTGTATTGTGATAAGTATGATTAAAGATAATGTACAGGTTGGGAATCGGCCCATGTTTACAACACGAGCGTCTAGAGACAGCCCACGAGCAAATTTCTTATTAATTATTATATCGTAATTTCTTATCAAATAACCTAATATCATATTATTCAATTATTACAAATAGAAATTTGAGATTTGAATATCAATATATATATATAAGTATATTTATTTTTCGTATTGACTTGACTTAATATATTTTAATTGTATTTAATACTTAATTGACATACCTAACAATAAAAATTAAAATGTGTAAACATATTCATATGGTAAAAATGAATATGTCAGATGACAATGATCTAAAAGCTAAAAATTATTACACTAACCCAATAGATACCTACTGATGAAATTTGTATGAAAATGTCTGATATGCAACAAGTTATTGCTCCATCTGTAGTTAGTATTGCAAACAAAATTCAGCAATTCCATAGCATGTTTGTATCACAAGGGGGTAAATTAAATGATGAACAGCTGCATAAAATTAATTTATCCCTAGACTCAAATTTAAAAATGTTATATGAGCAAAAATCGAWTGTTTCTGTTTCATTAAAAGAAAATGCAAATCAAGAACCATTAAATAAAAATGTTCAAAAACAGTTGCGATTTTTTTCTACTAAAACACTTCGTTTAAAATTACCGGAAGAACAAGGGTTAAATAAACCAACATTAAATGTTAAAAACAAATTATAGATGACTTGAACGAAAAAGATGGGACTCCTTACGTCCATATATTATGGATTCACAGTTTGACCATGTATATGGAAAATAAAACATAATAATAGGTACCTATGTTAATTATAATTATTAATGTATTAATTGTATTACCTATTAATACTTATTATTTTAGAACAATTTTAAAATTATTTCAAAAACAATATTTTATGTATTTTAAACTATTACAATTTGATTTATATATTTATTTTTATTTGACTATTATTTTATCTCCTTTAAGCAAAGCTTGTGTTGGAGATAGAGAGTTATTAAATTATGTAATATAATTATTAATAAAAGAAATTATACTAAATTAAAATTTTAAATACATATAAAACTAAATAAACAAATATCAATATAATATTTTTTTTTAGAAACTGTACATGATAAAAACAAAACTATAAAATAACATTATATTCAAAYATACACRAATAAAACAAATATAGATTAAAATTATTTAMATAGCTTAAAATATAAAAAGAACTTGATTTAAGGTAAATTGCACAATAACCATTAATTAATTTTTTTTTTTTTTTGATTTTGTTTTTTGTATTGCATTGTAATTTCTGTTTTATATCATAATCCAATGCATTGAATGTAGTAGGCCCAAGGAAGTCTATACATTTTTGACCACACATTGTTTTTACATAATTTATTTGTTTATTTGTTATTCATTTATTTTTGTATAACTCTGTATTGAACCATGTTTTTCTGTTAGTATCTAACCAAAATATCACAATTTTTTTGTAAACCGATCTAATAGGCAAAACCTTAGCTCTTTATAATTTTTGATTCGTTGAGCCTACCATTGTTTTTTTATCTAAACAGATTCTTATCATTTTGTTTTATTGAAGTTGTAATGGTTTTAAATCAATTTCGGACAGTCCACCCCACACTAAACATCCATATTGGAACACTGATTGATATAGATCTAAATATATATTGCGTAATATATTTACAGGCAAGATATTTTTTAGTTTATAAAATTTGTGGAGTGAAGACTGTAGCCTCATTACTATATTATTTATATGCAAATTCCACTTAAAATTACTTTCAAATGTTATACCTAGATATCTGGTAGACTGGACCCTTGAAATTTTTTACACAAATCATCATTACAATCAGCGACATTTTTACAACAATGTACTGTTAGTTCCTTAAAAGGAATAACCGAATTGTAAATACTGAATGTCATAAAATAGGAATTTTTATATTCAAAGATAATTTCTTTGAGTTAAAAAGATTTACTACTTTTTTGAGCTCAGATATTGCTTTAAGTTGCACAGAAGGCTATCTGTGAAAAGTAGTCAAGTGTCATCCGCATATGTTACAACTTTACCATCTATATTTATATTACATATACAGTTATTATATAAAATGAAAAATAAAGAACCAAGAACACTACCTTGTGGAACTCCGCATATGATTTTCCTTTTTTGACCTAATGTTTTGTTTATTTTAACTATTTGTTGCCTATCTTTTAGATAATTTCTAAACCAATTTAAACTAGTTGTTTTTATGCCAAAACTAGGTAGAGTCTTTATTAGTTCTTCGTGATTAACCATGTCAAATTCCTTTGCTAGGTCTAAGAAAACAGCTAAGGTTTTTTTACCACGATCAAGAGCATTATATACGTGACTCGTGGCGCTATAAAGTTCATTTACTGTCCTTAAGCCAGGACTAAAACCATATTGATTTTTAGACAGTACCTAGTTTATATTTTTCTAAGTAATTAATGAGTCGATTTTTRATTATTTTTTCAAGAATTTTCGAAAAGTGATTTAACATTGATATCGGCCTATGATTATTTACGTATTTATGATCACCACCTTTGTATAAAGGAGTTACTACTGCAATTTTGAAATTATCAACAAAAATACATTTTTCAATACTTAAGTTATATAAATAAGTTAGTGGTCCTATAATAATTTATTCAATGTACTTAATTAATTTTACCGTTACTTTATCGATTCCAGCAGCTGTTTCGTCCTTAATTATATTTGAGACTTCTTATTCTGTAATTTTTGTACTAAAAATATCATCAAATGAGAGATCACTTTTATTATCTTTAAAATTTGTGTTATTCTCTAATGTATTTTTCCCTATTTCAGAAAAAAATTTGAAACAGCGTGTGGCTCATCTAAGACATTTATAACTTTGTTATCTATTAATATAGATTTTATTTCGTTCAATGAGTTTACTTCAGTGTTTGTAATTTCCTTAATTAATTTCCATGWCAATTTTGGACTTTATGCAACATTTTTAAATTTTGTTTAAAAAAAATTTATTTTGGTGAGTCTTAAAATGTTTGTAAAGTTATTTTTATAATTGATATAATACTTTAGTAAATTTGTATTATTTGGATGTTTTTTAACTTTCAATGCGATTTTCTGTTTATTTCGTGCTGAACACAGTAGCCCTGCAGTCATCCATTGTTTTATTCTTTTGTACTTAGCACTTATATTTTTAACTTCCGTTGCCAGGGATATTCTATATAATTTAATTTGTTATAAAAAATATCACAACATTTATTTACATTCTTGCTGTTGTATAGATCTATCCATAGTTCAGTTTTCAAATTTTTAACTATTTTATCAAAATTAATTGATCAAGATTATATTGGGATTTAAAATTATTTTGTTTTACTAATAGAATTGCTAGTAACGTAAAGTAATGATCAGTAATAATTGTTTGAATTACACCAGCATCAATATTTCCTACTAAATTGTTATTTTGTACAAAAATATGATCTAAATATGAATGCCTAGAATTTAAAGGAGTCCTTGTGTATACATTAATATAAGATTTGAAACCACATATAGATAACATATCCAAGTAATTATTATCTACTGAATGTGTTCCCACCATATTTATATTCATATCACCCAGAACTACTGTAGATGAACTATTTACATTTTTAGATTCTAAACGAAGTGATGAATGTATTGATTTTACAATGATGTGTGTGTGTGTTTTTTTTTTTTTTGTTTTTTTTGTGT